TTCGATCGGAAGGCGGAAAATTGTGCGAAACAGTTTTTTTCAATTAAAATTGTAATCAAGCCTATCTGTCGTCCTTTCTGCTGTATGCTGTACCACGTTTTGTGATTTACCGAATGGAGCTTGAAACGCCAGACCGCCCACACTCCCAGGTTTCTTGGTCCTATCTGGCTGTTCCACTTTCCGTGTGTTAGACGGAACCCACGCGGCGACGCCTGGGCTGCCTTTGACGGCAACTTCGCTTCGCAGCAAAAATTTGCGCAGCACACCACCACGCGGCGCCTCTGCAATTTCTCGCCTCTATAGGCGCACCCGCACGCAAACGGTGAGTCATCATCCTAGCGTCCCACTCACAAACCGCCTAGAAATGACACCTGCGGACCACCGCAAGCTCCCTGCCTTGAGGCAAGACTTGAGTGACAGGAAGGCGCTATGTGGAATCAGGCCTACAATCTGGAGGGAGCAGGGCGTGTAAAGTCGCCTCGATAGTGGCTGTCAAGGGCTCGACACAGGGCAAAGCTGAGGACCACCATTGTTGCCTTTGGGGCGAGAGCTGCTTCACTCTTTTAACATACCCATTATGCTCCAGTGGTAAGGCTTAGTGCGATAAAATGGGCCTTTCCCCAAAGCAGTACGTATGTGTGCACTTTGCTAAGGTTCATTTTCCACGCCGGGACTACCCAGGTTCGAGGCAGAGCTGAAACTTAGGTCTTTCAGCAGAATTTTTTGTTCCTTTGATTCACGTTGCAATTGTCGTCAGCATCTAACGGAGCATTTTTCTTTTCCCGCCCCCCCCGCCTCCACGCGCTGTAGGTTTGTCTGTTGACGTGCCGCTTTGTCTCTTAATTGTTGAGGTGTCACATTACGTGACGCTGTTCGTTTCGTTGCCTTTTCCAGATGTGTTTTCCATAGTCCTTTTTTTACTGATGTAACTTGCACGTTTTTCGGAACTCGGGGGAAGCCAATCCTATCCCCGACAGTTAACCCACGCTTTTCTGTCGATTTGCATGCTCCACTTTAACATTTCGTCAGTAGTTTGGTCTCCTTTTTTGTGCGCCCCATTGTGCATTCTCCTGCCCCCTGCCTCTTCTCTACTCGGCCAACGCGCATAAAGCACGTGTCCGCCCCCCACAAGAATGTTTTTGTATACTGCGAATATTCTTTTACCTTCAAACGCCTGTTTGTGACACACTAGGATGTAGCTGCTGCTGCTGTAGGTGTTGCGCAGCAATCATTCATCGACAGTACTTGTGTGCGTGCGCGCGCACAGGGCCAGGGACACTAGAATGGCCGCGCTTCTGGTGGCGATCAGAAACATTCAGTCGCCCTTCAGGCGTACCGTGACGCAATCCCTGCTGATTGCAGTGCAAAAAGTGGGCATTCCCCCTCTTGACGGTTCGAGTTTCAGTGCACTGGACTACCAATAGCTTTTTTGTGTGTGTGCAGCGCTACCCTCTAAGCCAACAACCCGGGGTATAGCCACGTCTGGCCTATAGACCGTTGTCAACCAGCAACGTGCTGACTGGCTGGCTACGATTCCTTGGCCGAAGACGCCGTGCCTGGGAATCAATTAATCCAATCGGTGCGTAAAAACAGCAAATTGGAGTAATTTCAATAGCAGTCATATAGGTGACTGATAACCTGGAAAGAACGGATAACCAGAAAAGAAACGAGGGTCATTTTGAATCAGGCAGCCAAGAGTGGACACAAGATAAATGCAGAAAATTCGAGGGGAAAAAGAGTTCTCACCGTTTGGATTTTGTGATTTCAGTGCAGTTTAAAATCAACCACATATCGACTCGTGATTATTCGTTGCCTTCTTAAAGAGGGCGTTTCACTTTTTCCTTGGTTTCGTTATAATAAGCAGACAGCTTTCCGTTAGAGTTAGCAGTTGGACTATTTTTGATATTTGTATATTCGGCAGCCTGTGTTTACCCAACCATGCAATTGATGGCCCTTGGCTCGTAAGGTGCATTCTTAATTTTGTCTTCTTTGCAAAATATCCCCTGTACTGAAAGCCTCTTTCACTTGTCAATGTACTTCTCATTGTTGCGTCCTTTTTTCACTTGACCTTCCTATCAATTTTTGACCAGTTCTGGTTGTCGTACAAGCCATAAGCTCCTTGGTTCATCTCGATTTAAAAAGCTCTTAGTAGGAGGTGGACAATTGAAGAAGAAAAAGAAGAATACCTTTTTATATAGTCCTCATCAGAAAATGAATCTTTGAGGCTCTTGTGCAATGTAAGTATATCCTCTCATTTTCTAATCTCATTCAGTTTGAGAAGGTAAGAAATTTGTGAGTTTTTCTGTGTGCAAGGTATAGTAGGATCAGTTTTCCATTCAACCTGCCTGTGAACGTTTTATGCATATCATCGTTTATGCTGCACCAATCACCAACGGGACTCTTCAACGCGCTGTTTTCCTAAGTAGTCTAGACTGGGCTGGCCGTGAGACAATTAGAGTGCGTGTATACTCAAAGTATGCTAGTTTGTAGGTATTTGCATCGGCATTTCTGTGACGTCAGCGAACGTTTGTTCGCGAAGTAGAGGGCCTCGGATTGGAAGTCAACTGACCAGTCTGACACACAAACACAAAAACAGTTGTACGCATACATTTTCCTTCGCGACTCTGTCTGGCCTTCGACTGCTTTGAAGCTTAACCTTGACACGTCAGCCCGCTCGTATCACACCGGAAATGACATGCAGATGCTGTTCAAATTAGGATTTTTAATTTATCAAAATGCCGCTTATTGTAAAAAATTCAAAACTAACTGACTTTTCCCTATGTTCACTCTTTCAGTAAGTAGATTCGCTTTGCACCATTTCCATCCTGAATTTTACTAGGATCTAACATCCAGAACTGGGTATCCTGCATCTTGTTTTGGTCGCAACTTCCTGAGTTAGCGTAAATACTGCTGCGTTCATGACAGAAGTGTTGGTCAAGCCTGTGCGAGCTGCGTTACTATAGCTTTTGTTTTTAGACCTTCTTTGTACTTTTAACGAATGCAACTGTTTTGTTTTTACATTGTTTCACATGAGACTCTTGGTTTACTTGGTACGTCGGTCGTTTTGGGGACGGGCCACATTGCAGGCAAGGCAAATTCACTGATCCTTCCATTGCGCTCGGTAATTTAGATAACCTCTGTACGGTGTGTATACCTCGGTTCATGTCCACAATGGGTAAAACACCGAGATGATGAAGACCACAATTTTCTTGACGAACTTACGGAACTCGTAGACTGGGTTTTTTAGGCCTTTGCATACTCTTTCCCGCGCTTTTCCCACTGCTAACGATGGTTCCTGCTAAAGGGCGCAGTGGTTGTGGTTACTGAAGTTCACAAGTTGCTGGAACAAAGTAGGTGACCTAAAAAACGGAGGTCAACGACGTACACCAGGTTTCTACGGTTAGAAGAGGATGAGCCAATCAGTTCACCGACGGATTTACCATTCACATATGGCGAAATGGCGCATGTCCATCTGCCTTTGCCATCCCCATGGACTGAGGGCTCTTCAGAGAGCTGCTCATTCTTTCGGCAGCGCCAGTTATGGACGTTTCTGA